ATTTGTAACTTCTTATCAGACATATTCGCTATTACAATCAGCTATAAACAGCAGCTGTTTCGAATGACAGCTGCCTTGTTTACACCTTGTACTCCTGCCATCTTCTTCTTTCCCTTTCTGAATGGTGACCACAGATACCGCCATGCATGCACAGAATGTAAGTGCTAGTCTGTCTTTGGCTGTAGTCTGTGAGGTGTGTTCAAGTGCCATTTTTTCAACCCAGCTGGCCAGGACAAAGGTAACATGAGGCAATGTAACAGTCGGCTTATGTTGCTGCTAGCTCGGTCAGCTCGGTGTGCCTCCGACCTAAGAGTTAAGACTGGGCAGGTAGTGGTTACAGTTAATTTTAGGGTAAGTCTCCAGAAAATGAATTTAAGTCACTGTAATGTCCCCTGAAGTGATGGAAGCATGACTGTGTTTGTCTGTGTGTGAGTGAGAGAGAGACCAGAGGGGTGAACGATATGGGAACATGGAGCCTAATATGATGGGCTAAATGAGGTGTAATGGTGGTTACATAGAGTGACAGCAACTGGGCCAGTGCATTAAGGGGTTAACCAAGGCCAGGAGTCACTGACCTCACCCCTCCCCTGAGACAGAATTATCTCTCAGTCAGTGACACACACACACAGATGATGAAGATGTGCTTGCAGGACAATCATATTTTACCATTCAAGAATGATAGGATAGGTATTTCACCACCACTATCACCTTAAGAGAAGAGCAGGGGATAAATGAGGCTATCCTCGATTTTCCCAGTCATGCACTGATTGTTGGCAAAACTGGTCAGACTCTCACCAAAACAAAATGATGCCATACCTCCGGGCTTTGTTACATAGCAAAAAGAAAGTGAGGGCTTTATAACACTTTCATGTGAAAATGCTTTGAATTATAAACCATCATATTATGTAAGTCTTAGTGTAATTATACTTTAGAACTGTGCAAGTGCATCAGTATATTTTTAGTGTGCGTGTATATATATGTGGGTGTCTGAGAGAGAGAGAGACTGACAGAAAGTGCAGAGAATTTGTGAAAAGAAAAGACACCACAGGCTTCAAGTGAGAAATTAGAAATATTACCATATTTATTACAGCAACATAAAAGACATTAGAATGCCTACACCCTTTGCAACAAGCAACGCAGAGGAAACTGGCATGGGGACAAATAAGCATTGTACGGTGGCCAAAGAAAGAGAGAGAGAGGAGAGAAAGAGATGGAGATGGGAGTCTCAAATGAGAATCACTCATGAACATTTACACTATAGACTTGTTAGGGAGTGGGGGACAAACACTGTATTTGAGATTAAGCAAACCAACCCACATAACTAACCTTGATATGGTGGAAAGTGACACAACCAGGGATTTTGAGTGTTTCTGTAATCTTAAAATTTCTCTTGAACAAGCTTGTTCGGAAGGACATTGTCATCATTTACCCACGTTTGTGCTAACCTTGAAAACGCATGAAGAATTTTGCATATAAAAAAAGTATTCATCTAAAAATATCAAATTGTAAGCCAACCACATCCATATTTTGCATTTTGTTTTCATCAGTGACTATGCTGCTACTCAAATAAATAAGATCAATAGTGTCATTTTCTCCATCAGTTTTTACAGGTCATCAGGTTTAAGATTTATTTGTCAGAACCAAATCGTGTTTTTCTGCTTAGGAATCTTAAGCCACTTTTCACACTGCCCATCCACGGCAGGGGTTATTGTACCAATTTTCTCTGTTCTGTATAAAGTACCAAGTTAGTATGAGGGGGTCAGTGTTGAACCTCTTATTCTGCCATGAAACTGGCACAGCCATTCTGCCTCAAACCCTGTTTTGAAGGGGAGAGGCAGCTGCGGGGGGGGGGGGGGGGGGGTAAAGAAGATCGTAAGCAGAGGAAGTTTTGATGTTTGTGCATTGTGCTGCAAGGGAATTAAAATTTTAATATTGCTCACAAGAAACATAATCTGTGACCATAATCATTAACATGTTGCACACTATGCACACCAACTGTGAATCGTGTCATAAATGTGCAGGATAACAAATGCACATCCCTAAACTGTGTTCATCTGCCAGTATTGACTTGAAAGCAAAAACGTTACCATATGCTTCCTAGTGCAACGTGTGTTATATGCATGGTTGGTGAAGGATGTCATGTTAAACCTCTAATGCCAGGGCCCTGGGATTTGTATTATGCCAGCTTTTAAGCAAAGCCGGAATAAGGAAAGCCAGTTTAACGTCAGTATAGTGGTATCTCTGTCTAAAAGAGGCTTTAGCGAAGGTGAATCGGAGGGAGATCTCTGGGATGTTACAAAACCAGGGTGCGGATGTGAGGTCATTTTAAGAACACAAATTAATACTACCTGTACATACAATTTGCTCTTAATATTGCCTTTATAAAACAAAAGAACAGCTCACTAAATAAGGCATCTAAAAGGCCAGTAGTCAAGGGTGGGCTGCTAGAGTGAAATCATAGAGTTAGCAAGGGTAGAATGACCAGTTCTATATTCTCTGATTTGGAATTTTGTCTGTGGGTTATTTGACTAACCAGCAAAGTTCTTTGGCAAGAAAAAATTCATCGTTGCCCTCTGAACGTATTTTCTGTGCCATTACTTTATAAATTCTGAAACAGGGCAGAAAAATTACAAGTAAAAAATCTTTTTATTCTATTAATTAGTGGTGGCAATTTCAACTCTGGTGACCATTTAAGCCCCACCCCCTCAGTGACTGTTGCTAGGCCTGTGAAGCTTTCCATTCCAACACAATATACTGTATACAGCTTACAGTGGTAGTGGTGGCAGATTTACCATCAAAGCCATTACTAACTTTTTAAATGGTGGTTTCTTGATTTGAGATGGAGGTAGATAAAAGCAGGTTCTCATTTCTAGCTGACAGCTGCTGGATTTGCTGGCGGAAAGGCTGTTGCTAGCAGATGATCTCAGCTGTAGCAACAGCTATTTAAGCTATTATTGGCTCAGTCCATTTTTTGGAAACATTAACACATATATGATGAACATGGCATCACCACTTCCCTCCATTATGAAACTTTCAGGCAAAATATTGTGAATACGGCAGCTGTCATTTTCCTTTTTTGCAACTGTATTCTGTGCAGTATCAACCAGAGGTGGAGTGACAGCATTGGACCACCAGTAAGTTATTAAATCAACCAAAATACACCTCTTTTTATATCAAATAACTTACTAAAAACAATCTTAACAGAAAATGACTGCTTGGATACACCATCAGCTTGATAATATTTACCAAAAACCAAAGAAGCAACCTCTGGGAAAAATTATCTGACTTGTACTTTGAGTTATTAGTGTGGCTCATGTCCCATCTGCTAACATAGAGGAGATGGGATTTATGACCTATAGTGCAACCAGCCGCCAGGGGGCGATCACATCGCGCTGGCTTCACTTCGGGGAGCTCTTAGCCTGTCCATCTTTTTTACACTCAGTGATTGGAAAGGCCATCTTTGGCTAAAATTTCATATTACCAGGTGACTAATTTTAAAATGAAAACTGAAAAAATGTCCTAAAAATTACAACCATAACCTAGTTTATTGCTGCTTCTTGACTTTGGAGGTAGGCTACCACATGTTTTCTACTGTATGTACAGTAGTAAGCCAGTTGCCAGACATGCTAACAATTGTAGTTTATGTTAGAGCGTATACAGTAAACACACTGTTTAATCTATTGCTTCCACTTTAGCTCTTGTGTTTTTGATTTTTGGAAAGGTAAAAAATAGCATACCATCCAAACTTGAAATGGTCATACAGTACTAGATTTCCATGTTCACCACTTCAGCATGTGAAGAAGTGCAAAGCTTGACAGGTCTGCTGTGCCTAGGTACAACTGCTAAACTGTGATTGTTTTACTACGGGAAGGTTTGACAAACGTCTGTGATGCCAGTGAATTGAAATTTGATCTGAGGAGTTCTCTTTTCTCCACCTCATTCTTTCTTACCCTTCCTCACCCAAGGAAACATTTTTCAAAGTGGTGTTGTATGCAGAGACAGGCTTAGAAAGTGCATGTAATTACTGTTTAAGGTGGGTATGCAAGTTAAGCCACTGTATCAATAAGAAACGTCCCTTCTACTCATTCTAACACTATTGCAGAAACTTCAGTCATTGTCACCTGTCAGTCGAAGCATCACACCGTGCTACATTCCTTTGTTCAGACCAACGAATCACCTTTCTTCACTTTTCTCCCGTATGGCCTGCTCCTGAACAACTTCAGAAATCTCTTTTTCACAATAAAAGTACATCATAGTCATCATCATTGTTATCATTACAAACATTCTAACATTGGAAATCAACACTGTACATATTTTACACTATGATACAATCATATACTGTATACTGTACTTTATGCCACTGTTGATCCTATAGGGGTAACACATACTATTAAAACTGGGGTTTGGGAATACACTAAAAGCAGTTTCAGTGCTATTAATGCAGTGCACATAAAGAGGATCCCATCATCTCTAACATTAATATGAGAAGCAGCAGTTTCCTCCTGACAAGGGAAACACCGACAAACCAATTTATTTGCTTTTTTTTTTGCTGTAAACATGGTTTTGTAAATTTACCTCATGGGTGCTATTCTGACTTTTGAGATGGTTGAGATAGGTTGGCATGACTGATAACAAAGTGAAAGTACACACAAGACACACACACACACAAAAATCATTAAGTAAAATTTACCCTCTCTTGGTGGTACAGCAGTAAATTAACATGGTGTATAGTTCATCTTGTTGGAAAAAGGGTCCATTCTGGTGTTCCTTTTCATCAGGCAGATTTTAGAGTGCCTTAGGGATGAGGTATTTTTGTAGGCCAGCCTGGAAGTTAGCATCACCCTGGTTCCCTCGGTTCAAAAGCCAATGGGATTTTTCCATAGGCTTTTGGATTATTGCAGAAAATAAGCTCTGTGACAAACAACAATTTATGACACTTACACATTTTGTTCAGCAAGATAATCTTCACAGGTGAACACCACTTTATGATTTTTGAAGCTAAAATAAGATCCCCAGAAGTAAAAAGCTATTGCTAGGCTTTAAACAAACTACACCACAGTCCCATGACTTCAGCATTACCATTACAGCTTCAAGCTCATAATTTGATTTAGAGCACTTACCGCTTCTGCAAAATCCTTTCCTCCTAGCATGATTTGATCTGGCTACTGATCATGGCTGTGTCAGTTAGAATAATTTGCAAGTGAGCAAGTATAAACACAATGAGGCTATAAAGGTGGGCTAGTGAGTCTTCGTGTTCTGTGTGATGACTTTTAATATCCCAAAGAGTATCTGTAGTCTCATTTACCCGCTTGTTAGCAACTGCCTTTTTTAAGACATGTAAAAGCATAAAAAATCATTAGTGGGGTATTTACTGGTGTATTTTGTAGAACAAACCATTAAAATGTACTGACCTTGTGTTAACCACAGACCTTATGTCAAGTTTCTAACCAGAAACCCATTCAAAAAACACCCCATTGACCTCAGGGCCCGGGAACCAGAATGTCAAAAACGCTAAGTTCCAGGTTTTAGGACTCACTACTATGACACTCTGTTAGACAAAACACTGTAATTACTGGTGTGAGTAGCCTTGTGTAACAATGCAGCCAGGGGAGTTGGTGAAAGGAAATGTTATAGTGGGATTGGAGGTATGTTGCACAGATGAAGATTTTAAGGTTACTGTACATGGTACAATGAAAAAACAAGTTACACACTCTTAACAGTGTCAGTGCTGTCATGACCTTTGCATCACCTTTGCTCTACACCAAACACTACAGTATAAGTTTCCTAATACACCTGAAACACGGGAAGGCAAACTCTTAGGCTGAAATATTCCCAACAACATCACACTGTAACAGCTCAATAGATAGTTGTTTGGAATAAACAGTTATGGAAGAGTAAAAATTTCTGTGCACCTTCGGAAGTTGTTTTTGCACTCCGTTACGCCATAAGTGCAAGCAGACTAGCAAACATACACTGGGCCTAGTTGCTGTGGAAGTGTGTCTGAAAGCAGTCCCTAGGGAAGCCCTTGTCCTGGTCAAATACGTTATGTAAACAAATTATACTTCCATCTTAAATAAGCTAGCAAAACCTACATCGCTCTCTATCTCTAAAGGTCCAGTTTTTCTTTTCCCCGCACCCCACACATTCATGTCATTCAGGCTCATTCATTGGCTTCCTGTTCCTACAGAGAGCAGGGGAAGGGGCCATACAGGTACTAGGTAATAATTCCTATTAAGGTTGAGCGATATAAACCTCACCACCAATACAAACGTTAGGTCCATCTCTACGATTGTGGGACACACATCCCATATAAACATATCTACACATATACATATCTTCTGACCCTTTTTAAACTTCAAGGTGAAAACTCAAAATAAACAAAATGACAGTAAAAACCAATTGTACACCTCACAGACAGTGATGATATATATTCTAATTTGTTTGTGTGTATTTTTTGTCATCTCTTTTCTTAAATTTTTTTTCTTCTTTTGTTGAGCTGATATGATGTGATCTGGGATGTTGCCTTGTTGTTGGATGTGTCTCTCTGTGGCTCCATAATAGTGGTTCTGTTGCTGGGACTCTGAGTGCTAAAACCGGTAGTGTCCATCAAGGGTGGGAAAAATGGTGAAACTGCAAGAAAGTGAAGGAGTCAAGTGTACATGTTGTCTCCCATTTAGTGTGTTTCAAAATCAATGGAGGCCTGAGCACAGAGTATCCATTACAACTCCATTTTAGAGGGGCAACTCTTTACAGGAGCATCCATTTTGGCCCTGGCTCAGTATGTGTTGATGTGGAAACTGTTATACTTGGTCCCCTGGGTTTGCAGGCTCTGCACGCTGGCCAAAATCTTCTTCTGGTGGCCGGCCAAACTCACACCCATCTTAGCCAATTCACTACAAGCACAACAGAAAAAAATGCAGACAAAAATATTATTTTTTTAAGTGAAATTTTAAAGAAAAATTCTTTCTTGTACTTCAGATGTGCTGGTGTTGAGGATTCATGTTCAGGATTCTTGTATAAACCCCCCTTCTTTAATTTCAAATGACACTCAAGTGGAATGTAATATGGCTCTTTCTGACATTCTTGATCTTTTGAGTGTTTCGGTAAACAAGGAGGAGACACCAGCCGTCTGTACCTGACACTGATGTAGAGGACTGAGTCCAAGCTGACATATCCAGCACTGGAAAAGTTCTCTTTATACTGGCCCATCTTGATGGCCTCCAACCACTCATCCACTGTGCTGACACTGAACTCGGGGGTGGATGGGTCCTCAGTGCTGGGATACAAAGCACAATCATAACACACGCAATCAAGTTTTGGCCTATTGATTGGCTAAAAAACTGATTCTAACTCAGGCTGAAGCTGACCATTTCTTCTTGGAACACGTATTAAATTAAACTATTGTTATACTGTTCACAGCCTAATATTAAAAACTGTTCAGAGCTCACTGAAGGAGCCAGTTAATGCTCATTCATTGTCCTGGACTGCCATTTGAATAAAGTAATACTGCAACAAAAGCCCTTTATGAATAGATTAAAATCAAGGACCGTGACGTCACCCGGTATGGCGCAGCCAGGGCCCCACACTGGAGCCTGGCCCGGGGTTGGGGCTCGAATGCGAGCGCCTGGTGGCCGGGCCTCCCCTCACGGGGCCCGGCCGGGCTTAGCCCGAACGAGCGACGTGGG